TTTTTTAGTTTTAAAGATAAGTCAAAATTCTTACATGGATCCCCAGTTCATATGGATTTGTGCTTGTGTGCCAAATTTCAGGCCGATAATTCAATATCTACTATGAAATTCTTCTGCACTAAGAAACTGGTTTGAAAATCCAAGATGGCCGCGCCAGAGACCCATTTTTCATAAAAATTCAACAAATTCACCCTTAGTGCATCCTATTTACCTATGAACTTCTTGCACAATCACATGAAAGTGAATAAAAGTAATTCGTTTAGAAAATTTTTGCGGGAGTGTACGTCTCCCCTTAAGAAGAGATATTTAGGTCCTGAGCTAGTGGTGTACACACCTCCAATTACTTTGTTCACTTATTATCTCTTGTTTTAGTGACAACTTCAGAATTATACTCACTGAAATTGAGCTAACATTTTGTTACCAGGTACTTTGTAATTTTGTAGCTGTCATCTTCAATTTTCATTGGCCAGTAGTACAACGGATAAAGCCAACCTTGCTCAAAGTCAACACTTTTTTTCGGTCCTGAATTCCACTGTAATTTATTTTATTTGTAATTAAGGCGATTTTGAAATTGACATGAGTCTCAATTTTTACCTTATTAGTAAGAAAGAGTGTATGCTATATTTTGCTTGAATTATCTACTCTGTTTTTTTTTTTTTAAGTAGATGTAGAACTGCATATTATAATGTGCATATGAATGATATCTGTGTAGGTGTCCCGCGCAATTTACCGATCTTAAGATTGCTCTGCCCGTTTGCATGGCAATCTTAAGATTGTGGGACAATTTTAAGATTGCCGTGCACGTTTTATCGATTATAGATCTATAATTGTATCATTCTTGTGAGCTCTTCAGTTTGAAATCTAATTTTACTTTTCATATTTTTGCACTTTTGAAAATTATATACGTGAATGTTCCTTGGTGTGAGTAAAGGAATAAAGATGAAAGTGAATTATACAATCATTAAAATGTGCAGCGCAATCTTAAGCCGATTTATAAATTGCGTGGAACATGCATGTTCTTCATGAATATTATGTAAAACGGCTGGAACAACGATTGTAACACGCATTTGTGCGATATAAATGCCATATTATTAGTATTATTATAAGCGAACAATGTAATATTACGGGGG